GAGAGAGAGAGAGAGTTCATTTTGTCCTCTTGTCCTTTCGGAGAGCTAGACTTTGAGAAACAGTGGAAGCAGAGGAGACAACATTCGAAGAAGATGACTCTTGAGTGGTAGGATTCTGGATTGCCAGGGACTTATAGGGAATGGTGCATGCCAAACTTGTGCCATGACCTGAAGATATAGTGGTCATAAGAAAGACTGACTTATAAAGCTACATAATTAATCCATTGTTATTCACGCAAACATAAATAAATCCATTTTCAAGGGCAGGGACACTTGATAAGGGATTCCTGATAAATGGCAATTGCGGACCTCGGGGCCAATCAGTTGAGGACCTTGATTCCTATACTTTAAGAATCTCGATATTAGAACAGGATGAATCCCATTATATGACATACTTAAACCTCTATTTCTTAACCAAAGGAACTCATACTAGCTACTTACAACCTCATTTTTGTGTATAGTGGAGCTTAGATTCCTGCTAGTCAAAACATCGAACCCCATTGACATTGGATCTCGCTCCCATAAACCTAATGATCTCGCTCCTTGTCTTGTTCCTTGTACGAACGCTGATCCTAACCCCAGGGAGCTTCCACTATAAGGTGGTTCGGCGAATCCCGAACTGATCCTGCTCCCGCCTCCAACAACTATGGTCTGCCTTGTATTGATTTTAGTTTTGTTTAAAAATTGAGAAATCATATAAGAGGACCATTGCAGTAATAATGCTATGTTGAAGATGGGGCAACCCAAGCATGCAAGCTTAATCTGAAAATCTGATTTATTCCTCCTTATTATCAATTTCATTAGCTAGTCCACACACAAAAGAAGATTCTCAGGAACTAGTGATATCAAGAATTTCCATTGTAACATCCATGTCCTCTGTGGAGCATGGGAAGCCCTGCTAGCCCATCTTATCTCATTCAGTTCCTTTTTCTATTAACTCTTAGAGAATGATGCTACACAGATTCTATGCCCACTATTCAACTTTTATTCGTTTGAATTGCTTCTTCTATGTGTCTTCATTTATCTGTTATTTCTTTTAGCAATTCAGCTTTCATGAGTTTGAACTCTGAATCTGGTTCTCAATTATTCATATTGAGAATAAAAGAAGAAAGACTTTCTATAGTGGTTGAACTTTCTCCTTATGCAAAGCTTATTTAATTTTTTTTTGAATATCTTAACTCTATTAACTATAAAGATAAGTACAAAGGGATAAACATAAGGAAGGGGCTGGCCACCCACAAACGGGTTCTGACTTGAAAAATAGACTACCCACAGATGGGTGCCATATATAAAATTCGCAGTTAGCCAAAAAAATGCTTTATAGTGACATTTTAACAACAAAAAAGGGTAAGAACCAATATTGAAGGAGGGAGCGCGTGCTCAAAAAGGTGCTCAAACGGTTCCCTGCGTGATAAGCAGATTGGCTTGAGAAAGTGAGGCGGCTGCATTAGCGAGGGTGTTGGCTTCACCATTAGCTTCTCTTCAAACGTCTCTAAGAGATATGAGAGATCCTATTGAGCTGTGTAATTTCTTCAAAAATATTATTGAGTCTCTAAGGCCAGGAAGCTGAGCCTGAGGCCCAGGAGATAACACAGAAAGAGTCACCTTCGATAATGAGGGATTGGCCCCAAGAAGGATTGAAAATTCCTTAGTCCTTCCCGAAGGGCTAATGTTTCCGTGATGATAGAATCTGAGTGCACAATCGGGAGAGAGAAGGAGAATAGAGTAGTGATGTCTTTGTTGTGAAATAAGCGTCTTATACCTACTGAGCTAGGGTTGCTGAGAGAGCATCCATCAAAATTTAATTTGATTTGGCCCTCTTTAAGTGGTCTCCAAAGGGATGAACGAGGTATTTTGTGGGTGTAAAGGTCAGAATGGTAGGCCAGCTGTGGAGAAAGTCAGAGTGTGAAAGTTTTTGAAAAGGTTGTTGTGGGTGGTGCAGAAGATGTTTGAGGATATAATCCTGTCTGTCAAAACTTCTATGGTAGAATGCCGTTGCATAAAATTCTGGTGTTTCTTTCATTCCAAATGACCCAAAAGTTGGCAGCCACTGAGGCCCTCCACAACAGTCTACTAGCCTTCGACCAAAGGGGGGAATAAGGCTATGCGAGAGAGTTGGGGAAGGTTAGGTGGAGTTACCCACTGCCAATGGAAGAGTTGGAGGTCGGCCCAAAGGGAAGAGGTCAACTTGCAATGGATAAAATGGTAGGCGTTGCTTTCCTCTTCTTCGAGACACATGATGCACTGTCGGAGATTTGGAGTCCCCTCCTTTGCAGTAGATCCACTGTGAGGGCTCTCTCAGAAGCAACAATCCAGCTGGAAAACTGGTTTTTGGGTTGAACCAGGGGAGCCCAGGCTTTGGTCACAATGGGAATGGCCAAGGGTTTGGGGGTGGGCTAATGCTGAGTAGAAGGAAGCCACCGAGAAGCTCTAAGAGTGGTTGGGGGTCCAAATGAGATTATCTCAGCCTTGAAAAGGGAGGAAGGTTGAGTTTAGGGTGGCAAAGAGGCTTAAGAAGAGCTGCACTTCAGAATCAGTTGATGGCCTTTTAACGTTGGGGCTCCACACCCTCCTGTTGCCCATAGTCTCAAACTGAGATTCCATCGTAGCATTGGGTTCTCAGGCCAGCAGGAAAAGGTTGTGCTGTTGTTCCTTCAGAGGAATATGGTCCAACCAAGGGTCGAGCCAAAACAGAGTTTTATCACCATGCCGAGGCCTGTATCTAATCTCGGACCGAAAGTGGTTGTAGGAGCGCAATAGGGATTTCCATATTCCAGGGGAGTTACTATGGCCTCTTTGGTAGGGCACCCAAGAAATGTCTGAATTACCATATTTAGAATAGATCATTTCCTGTCAGAGGTGGTTACTTTGGGTGGCAAGGCGCCATCACCATTTTCCAAGAAGAGCCTGGTTGTTGTCTTTGAGTTTGCGAATGCCCAGGTCCCCTAGAGACTTGGTTTGTAGACTTTTGGCCATGAAATAAGATAGATTTTCTTGCCCCATCGCTCGACCACGGGAAGTTCCTCATGACTTGCTCAAGGCGGAGGGCCACCGAGGACGGCATATGGAATAGGGACATCTGAAAACTTGGGATGCTAGAGAGGGTGGCTTTGATGAGGATAAGATGACCCGTCGATGATAGGAATCTACCTTTCCAACCCGCCACCTTTGTCGAATTTATCTATAATGTGGCTCCAAAGGTTTGAGTCTAGGTTTGCCTAGGCATAATGGTAGGCCCAAGTAAAAGGAGGGCAACCCATGGGAAGAGCAGCCCCATCGAGAGGCTAGAGTTGTAACTAGAGGAGGGTCCACTGCCACACCGAGCATCTTTGATTTGGCCATATTCACCCCAAGGCCCGTGGCCACCTCGAACAGTTTGAGGAAGAGGTGGAGGGACTCCAGCTGTTCGGAGGAGGCCTCACAAAACAACAAGGTGTCATTAGAATATTGGAGGTGGGAAATCTGTGGACTCGAAGGGCTAATTTTGAAACATTTGAGCAAGCCAGCTTAGTACATTCTCGAGATCAATCTGCTGAAGATTTCAGCGACAATTGTGAACAAGAATGGGGAGAGGGGGTCT